GGGGCCGCGAGTGAAAAGGCGACCCGAGAGGTCGCTAAAAAAAAAGGGCGCGCCTCGGGGCGCGCGTCGGTGGGCCCAGACAACGGTCCTAAGGTAGGACCCGCTCTATACCATGTGAAAATAGGAAAACAGGAATGAATGAACTATGAACGAAAGCAGTACAAATATGAAACCCTAACTGGGTTGTACCCCCTATGGGATACCCCACTACAGCCTACACAGCAGTATAAGCTATAGATATGTTCTGACACACCGTGGGAGCCGTGTGGGAGCTCGACGAAGATTTCTACATCAACTGCTGCGTAGAGGAAGGCGTTCGCGACGTCGATCTGCCGTAACTTCTTCTTCTTCATGGCGGCAATGGCGAGGAGAATTCGGAGTGACGTGTGGCGGCTGACTGGAGCGAAAGTCTCGGTGAAGTCTCGTCCTTGCTCTTGGTCGAATCCACGTACGACCCAGCGTGCTTTGAATTTTTCGATCGTGCCGTCTGCTTTCGTCTTGATGCGGAAGACCCATTTCCCGGTAAGAATGGTCTTGTTCCGGGCCACGCTTACGGGAGCGACCTTCCAGGTGTTGCGTTCCTCCAATGCCTTCAATTCTCTGTCCATGGCTTCACGCCATTTCTCCCTGTGTTCCCCCCCCAGAGCCTGCTGAACCGTTGCAGGCTCCTTAGGAAGCGAGCTGCCTGTGTTCCCGTGGACTGCGGTGACGAGGCCGAGGATTTGCAGCCCAGTCCGTGAGTATCGAGGGAGTGTTCGGTCCTCGCGATAGGCTGCTTCGTCTCCCGCTTCTGGATCAGGGATGAAATTCGGCCCTATCCTTTCTGCTTCATTTGTGTTGACTGTCGCAGGTGTTACGTAGCCGGTATCGGCGAAGTGGTAGAAGACTTTGGCGTTGTTACTGTCGCGAGGATTTTCTTCGTCCATGGGCACGTTGACGGAGCAGTACGGGAGAGGTCCGGCTTCTTCCGATGCGTTGTCGACGTTCTGCTCATCCCAGTCTGCTTCATCCGCTGCTGACGCGAAGGCTCGGTCACCACGAAAGCCACTGGTGAGGTCCCGATTCTCGTGCAAGTTGGCGAGGTACGTCTGTAGGGTGAGTCGTTCGTAGAAGATCACATCACGTGCTGCTACTGTTTCTTTTGTGTGGACATCGAAGATTCTCCACGCGTTGTAATTTTGCTCGATGCCGAGGTGTAGTCCCCACTGTGCCCGTTGCGAAAATCTTCCCGCTCGTGCTTCTGGGGGTCGGTACTGTACCATGCACCCAAAAACTCGTAACATTTTTGTGCTGCCCTGCTTCCCTCTCCACAGCAGATGCGGTGATGCATTGTCCGGGAGTGACGACGACGACAGCAAGTTGTGCAGCATGACAGCATGGTCCATTGCTGCTGGCCACTGGTGGTTGGGTAGCCGCATGCCACGTAGCAGCTTGCGCATGCTATTCTGCAGAGTCCTGTTCATTCTTTCTGCAACACCTTGCTGCTGATGTGCGTAGGGGAGAGAGAGGAGTTGCTTGATTCCCTTTTCCGCCAGGTACTGCTTGAAGCGCAGAGAGGTGTATTCTCCTCCTCCGTCTGACTGGAAGCTTTTCAGTTGCGATCCTGACTCCCGTTCTGCTACCGGTAGCCAGGCGGCGAATGCTGCGAGAGCCATGTCGCGGCTGGGTAGGTTTCGATGCCAGACGTATCGAGTGGCGGCGTCGATGAAGGTTATCGTGTAGTTGTAGGTAACTTGTTCTGGGTCTCGATTGAAGAGGATGTCGCTGTATACCTTTTCGAGTGGTGCGTATGCAGGTGCGCTCGGGTTGTGGTGAGAAGGAAATGGTCGATGGGGTAAGTCGGCTTCGGGGCATATGAGGCAAGTTCCTCGTGCTCGTTGAAGTTCTCTGCCGTCGGGTAGAAGTAGTGAATCTTTGTCAAGAACGCCTGCTCTTATCGTGTTGTTTAAAACCGTGTTGCTTGGATGTCCTGTGCGTGCGTGCCAGATTTCTTCAGAGGCGCGGTGTCCGGGTGAACGTTGGTATGCGTCGGAGTTGGAATAAAAACTGGCGACGAATTTGGCGCTTCGGTGGACTTCTCGTTGAGTCGGATTCAGCTGTTGTGCGAGTGTTGGTGGTGCTTCGTCGACTGTGACTGGTGTCGTTGATCCTGCTGCTGCTGATGTTGTCTCTGCTGCTGTCGATGTTGTTGCTGCTGCCGATGTTGTCTCTGCTGCTGTCGATGTTGTTGCTGCTGCCGATGTTGTCTCTGCTGCTGCCGATTGTCGAATTGTTGCTAATTCTCGTGTTCGTTCTGCTTCAGGGATGGTGTGCGAGTACCAGAAACCTCCCGGGCTGAAGTCGGGGTCGAGATCCGGAGGGTGTGTCCAGTTAGTGAAATTCACGATGGCGTCGCTGTCTGCAGTGCCCAGGTCAGGAACGAAGTCGAGGACGAAGACGTTGTTCTTCAGCACTGCTTTCCCAATGTAGAGACCGCCTCTCCCGTGGTATAGCTTGAACTCTTGAGTGGTGCTGTCAGCTTCCAGGTGAATCCCCTTCGCCATCAGCTGGCTAACACTCAGTAAGTTGTAACCGAGTCCTTCACCGATGAGTACCTTTGATATGTGCAGTATGACATTTGTTTCTCTTGACTGAAGCTGTACCACTCCTTGTCGTCGTGTGCGCAGGTTTTGATTGTTGGCGACCGTGATGACAACTTCTCGTTGGAGTCGGTGTTCGCGTTGTACGAAGCGTCCGGACAAGCACATGTGTTGCCCGCAGCAACTGTCCAAGAACTAAGTGTCTTGGCCGGACGGTTCGCTTTGAGCGATGGCGGCGTACGTCGGATTCGGCTGGAGTAACTCACGGCGAGGCGTTTTGTTGTCGAGCTCTTCTTCCGGTGAGTAGTGCGGTGGTGATTCGGTTGTACACGAATCGGTTATCTTCGCCATGCAGTTGATTATATTTCTTGCTCCTTGTGCAGGTTGTCCAGGTGAAGTCGTTGAAGCTTGAATTGTGGTCGTCGCATTTGCTTGCGTTGAGGCGACTTAGGAGCTCGAAGGTCGAAGTTGTCGCTGTGGTGCCGTTGATTGCTGACGATTTGGGCAGTGCGTGCGCGGATGCCCTGAAGTCTTGCAGATGTGGCAGAAGGGAGGTACTGGCTTCTGTTGCTGCTGTCGGTTGTTGTAATTGCTGTGTCGTCGTTGAATGTGGAATGCGAACTCTGACGTTGTCGTCTTCTTCCTGTGTCGTTCTTCCTGCAGGTCCATGTCTTGCTGCTCGGCGTGTATTTCGGCGCAGAGTGCAGCTTCAGAGATTCTTCCGTGGGCTCGAAGAATAGCTTTGGTGGCGCGCCACTGAGGACCAAGGCCACCAATAATGACTGTCACGAAGGCGTCTTCAGAGATTGACCCTCCACATCGAAGAAGTTTGTCGCGCAGTTTGCGACATCGGCTGATATACGCCAACCCTTTTTCTCCTGGTTTCATTTCGACAGTTGTCAGCTGCGCCATTAACCTGCTCTGGTTTACACTGTCTATTGCTTGATACAGGTTCTTCAGATGGCTGTACGCGAGCTCCGCCGAGTTGCCGAAGTTCCGGTAAGAACGAATGTTCTGCTGCTGAGTTGGTGTCACGTTCCTCAGTAGGATCGTATACGCCATCATTGATTGATACGTATACTGTTGCTTTTCATACTGTGTCCCGTTGGCTGGATACTGCAGGGACCCGTCGAAGAAGCCGAGTATCTGCGCGCCCTCCATCATCAGCTCGAATTCAAAGGACCAGGTAAAGAAGTCTTTGACGTCGAAGGGTCTTGACGTTTGCAGTTTTAAGACGTGTGGAAACTGCGACTGAACTTGAAGTGCGTCCATCGGTTTGTCTTGCACAGGTGGAGGTTGAGGTAAAAAGCTGATCGGCCCGCGCTCGTACGGGGCGAAGGTGGGTTGCTGCTATTGATTCCCTCGCGCATATGACGACCCATCAAGACTCATGGGTGTCACTCCGTTGTTGCTATTGTGTGTCTGTGCAGGTCCCGACTGCTGGTGTTGCTCGTAGAAGGACATGAAGGAGAAGAATTTCTCCATCATGCTCTGGTCAAAGTCCGAAGGGTGGTTCGCTGGGGTTTCAGTTGAAGTTGCCCTTGGTCTTGCTGCTGTACCCTCCTCTGTTTGCAGGCCAGAGGCAGGAGGTGGAGTAGGGGTAGTGCCCGGGGAGTCATTAGAGGAGCTCCTTTCCTTGTTTGTTGCCATGTCTTGGAATGACCTTGAAAGAGTAGAGTTTCCCTTGTCAGCTCTCATACCATGTAAGGCTGAGATAGCCCCTTAGGATCTTTGCAAAGGATAACTCTAGGTGAAGTAGTTGTAATAGCGGAAGCGTTTAATGAAGAACTTGAACCGACCTTGCACTGGTGTGTGAGAGCAAAGTTGATTGATAATAACAAGCAAATACAAGATTTTATATAAGAGTACAGGGAATACGAATAGATAGATAACTGTATTGCTGTTGCGATTCGATACAGTGCGACTCGGGCAACTGCTCTGTAACGAGTCAGTTGTGTGTCCTTAACTGTCGCGCTGTAATTGTCGAGTCAAAGGTCGCTGACCTTTGACTTTCCCGTAACCTCCAGGCGGTTACCCTAACCTCCGAGGTTTGACTCGATGCTTCGATTCGGACTGCTTCGCTAGCATCTTGGGTTTTGACACGACAGAGGCGCACTAAGACTTATTGTTTCCAACAACAGCCACTTGAGCCTGCTAGGTTGACATGCTACATTGATACCACCACCATCATCTATAGTCCACTACACTTCCGAAAACAGTTCCCAGTTTCATGCCATTTTTTTACGGTACACAATAAATCCAAGGTGTAGGCAAAGAAACATGGAACTTTGCAACAGCAGCAGGGAATGCACCTACGGCTTCCATGCCATCACAAGAGGCCAGTTACACGATCCATCTCTGCATCCAAACTCGAGCTAACTTTTGAGTCGACTCAAAGCCAGCTCAGCTACTTCCACGCCATCACAAGTGGCTAGCTACACGATCGATCTCTGCATCTAAACTCGGAGCAGACAAGCTCTGCGACTCCATTTCCTGATCCACCTGATGGGCGGCGGAGTTGATGCGTTTGCCGCCCACTTCCACCAGCACAGCATCCAGCTCGGCTGCAATCTCTGTCATGGCCGGCCGCATGGCGGTCGGCATGGAGGTGCATCGCAGAGCCAGCTGCACCACCCTCAACACCAACTCATCCCGTGCCTCCATGCGCGCGTCCTTTAGCCATGCCACTGCCTCGCTGCCGCCATATTGAACCAGCTGCTGCTGGACCTGGTGCCACACAAAACAGGATTGCAGATGAAACAACGGAAAGGTATGCGGATAAAGTAGTGAAAAAAGACACGCGGATGAATGAGAGAATGAATAATGAGCGGAAACGAGGGTTACGACGGTACTCTCTCCATGCCCACAGACTTACCCAAGAAAGAATGTGCAGTTGTTGGCCCGCCTCTTCATCAGAGGGAACAACGAGAGAATTGGTGGCGACATGGCGGCCCGTCATCACCTCAAGCATGAGAATGCCAAAGCTGCACACCACGACACCCCGTGGACAGGTGAGGAGAGGAGAGGAGAGGAGAGGAGAGGAACGCATGAGAGGTGCCCAACGACAGAAAGTAACCAGCTGGAGAAATACAGGGTTTGATGCTCACCTGTAGACATCAGTGGCAGTGGTGGCCTTATTGGACCAAGCATAAGAGAGGTCTACATAGCCTGGTGTTCCCACCATTTTCGTACTCTGCGCTGTGGTGCCCCCTCCCTTCCTTACACACCCGAAATCCGAGATCTTGACCTGCGATCATGCATACAAGAATTCTTAGCTTGCCCTCACACATTAGGGACAACACGCACACACACAGGCCCATGTGTGCATGCCAGTTTAAGAGAGCATGCGGCACAGGATTGGCTGCAACAATCGTGGTGGCGACACAGCCCTGCATGCCTGCAGCACATGCCTGCATGGTCTGATCGAGCAGGATGTTGGCAGGCTTGATGTCGCGGTGAACGATGCCGAAGCTGTGGAGATACTCAAAGCCGCGTGCCGCCCCCACCAGCACGTTCACACGCTGCTCAAAGCTCAAGGGCTTCACAGCCCCTGCAGGGAATGGGAACGGAGGGGTGGAGAGAGGAGATTCTGAGAAGTAGAAAATGAGACCTGTATGAAGAGGCACACCTGCAAGGCCAGATAGGTGGGGGACATTTTGGCAGTGCACGTGTTAGATTGCACACCTTTTCCGATCCATTGCGAGAGGTCCCCGTTGGGCATGAGCTCGTAGATGAGGATTTGCTCCGGCCTTCTCCTGCCAGAGATCCCAAGGGAAAAGCCCAGCAGGCGCACCAGGTTGGGGTGGTGCTTCGTTGCCATCTCACACACCTGCCAGGCATGACAGTGGGCCCCGTACAGCACAGTTCAGTGATCGATCTGACACTGCTGCCTACCAGAATGGCGTGGGTGTGTGATGTGATGTGACACACACCTGGCAGAAACAACGATGAAGCACAGCGCGATATGCGAGAGGGTGTGCAGAAAGAACAGTCATGTGGCACATCCGACAGTCGATGGAACACGCTCGGAGGGGCCATGGCCATGGCCATGTCATGCATCTGGACACTACAGTTACTACAGTTGATGGAAAGAAGACCTCCGCAGCCCACCTGTCCGTTACTGACGGACGGGCCACGGCCAAGGCCATGTCATGCATGTGGATACTACAGTTGCGCCAAGTGCACATCACATGAAAGGTCACACCAGAACACGACAGGACATAACATGGCATGGTATGACATGACATGACATAAGATGATAACACATGACATCACATGACATGACATGACATGACATCACAATACGTCACGTCACATCGCGACTTGACCTGACATGACATGATACCACGTCATATTGCATCAGATCACATGACACCATGTCAGTACGCATCGCCTCGCATCGCATCGCATCGCATCACATCACATCACATCACGTTGATAGAACGTCAGCTTAGAATCGATAGATTAGTAATGAGCTTGAAGCTGCTTAAGTACATCCGAAATGAGCAAGGTATGGATGGGAAGGGAATCGGGGGCAATCCCTAGGGGATTGAGGGTAATCCCAGGGCAATCTCCAATTGGTAGGTTGGAGATTGCTTGGTGATCACATTTGGGTCTGGTTGGGATGTGGGTGTACATCCAACCAAACACTAAGTGCAAACTACACTAAGATAGGATATAAGTACAAAAGTTGAGATTGGGGGCTAACACACACATCACATCACATCACATCACATCACATCACATCACATCACATCACATCACATCACATCACATCACATCAAATCACATCACATCACATCACATCACATTGTGTCACGTCACGTCACGACATGACACTACACGACAAGACACGACACGACACGACACGACACGACACGACACGACACTGCACGACACGACACGACACTGCACGACACGACACGACACGACACGACACGATACTGCACGACACTGCACGACACGACACGACACGACACGACACGACACGACGTGATGTGACATGACGTAACATAGCATGATATCACATCGCATGACATCGCATCCCATTGCATAACATCGCATCGCATCACATCACATCACATCACATCACATCGCATCGCATCGCACCACATCGCATCGCATCACACCATATTACACGAACGCGGACGCATTAGCACCACAAAATGTAAGCACCTCGGTGTCAAAGTCGGTGGTGACAATCTTGGCTCGCTTCACAGCCCACAGCGTGACACCATCGGTGGGAGAGACGCCGCGGTACACGTCACCAAAGGCCCCCGCGCCCAGCAGGTTGGCCTCAGACCACCCGTTGGTTGCTTTCGCCACCGCCGCCAGTGAATACTCCTGACACACCTGCGATACCGCCTTGCTGCTCATCAGTGCTGCAAGAAGGATCAGAAGTGGAGGAATTGGGAGGCAGCGGATGCGATTAAGAGAATGAAGCCCAACTGATAACCGTGAAAAGTGTGCGCATCCATGTGATAAAGCGAGTGCTGCTGGAATGGCTGAGAGGCCCCATTGGCGCTCAACCAGGTTGCAGAAAGCGCCCTTGAGCAAACGGGCAAAGAGAGCAGGCGAGAAAGTGGTGGCAACGGGAGGAGGTGACTGGAAGTGGAGTAGCAATGACAGTGGCAATAAAGAGATCCAGAGAGACGGAATCCACATGACTCGTCGGTGCTGTGCATGTGCCAGGCAAGCAAGGGCAAGGCAGTGTGATGCGGGACGGGACGGGACGCACGTTTGTGAAAAAAGTAGAGGTAGAGCAGTACAGCGAGCGCCGCAGTGAGAACAGCACCAGCCACGATTGCCGCTATTGCCCACCAAGGAAGTGGCTTGTGCTTGTCACCTGCCAACAGAGCAGAGGACTCTAACAGGTTCAACCGACAAGTGATTGACAAAATTGAATTCAAGGGGCGGTAGGGACGCTGGGTGCACAGCATGGCAGCTGGGTGCACAGCAGGGCATCTTGGTTTTAGATTGGAAACAGAATTGCCCCTCCTCCACCTCCCTTCCTCTCAAGAACGAAACTCACATGTGTTACAGAAGCCAGGGCAGGTGCGGCAGAAGCCAGAGGACGTATCCTGAGGCACACCGCAGCTGCTGTAGCTGTCAGGGCACATGAGGTTGTTGTTATCTTTGGCCCTGAGTATGCCAAGCCAAACAGGGGGCGAAAGACGAAGAGCGGTTGCAGAGAAAGGGGGCATTGTTGTTGAGAATGATAACCTAAGAGATGAGCCTCACCCTTGAAATCGTCTACCTGCACTTGTCTGCTCTGCTCGTAATTCAATGCAGGGGGCATTGCGCCTGTGGAGACTGGAGGGGAGGGGTGGGTGGGTACAGGCTCATAGAAGATCGTGGCTGAGAAAATGCCATCCTCTTTCCCTCCCTTCCACTTTCGTTCCTGTCATAAGCATGTTCACCAACCGTTCTGTTCTACTGGAAGAGAAAGTGGTTTCGTTTGGCTTGGCCCATCGGACTGTTTTGTGCACTGCCGTCCGTCCTTGGCTGTCCCGTGTCCACTGAACTAGTTAGTCGGCTGCTACCAGCCTTCAGAGGATGTACCTGTTAGGTAGCTAGCTGCCACTCGACTAGTGGATTAAGTACACTTCTTTTCTTATTACTTACAGAGTTGACAGCTTGTCCAGCTTTCCTAGGGCTGGGGGGATGGTTCCTTCCATATAGTTGGAAGCAACGCTTCTGCTCTCATGCAAGGGCAAGGCAGAGGGCCACAACAAACGAGGGAACGTAGGTGCGAAAGATGAAGGGATCTGCATACAATGGACCTATGCATTTTGTTTGAGATTAGTTTTGAGAATTCTCAAAACTAATCTCAAACACAATGGACCTATGCTGCCATGCATGCTCTTGTAGTATAGGCTAACAATGCATTCACATTAGTGGCATGAAATATGGCGGCGCATGTGAGGGGGCATGGAACAGGCATTGGAGATGCAATGGAAGAACGGCAGCGAAATCAGAAGACAATAGTATTGCACAGTACGTGCGAATATGTGCAGTGTGAGTGAAATCAGAATGCATGCGTGGAGGGAAGAGAAATGATGGACGGAGGTACAAGTGCAGAGGGCTCACTCACAGGCTGACCAGGTTAGTCATGTTGGTGAGTGACTCTGGCAAGCTGCCAGACAGTCTGTTGTTGGAAAGATTCCTGATGGTGCATGCATGCCATTAGAGGGGGGCATGGAGCATTAGAAGGGAGCACGGAGCACTAGAGAGGGGCATGGTGCATTGGAGGGGGGCGTGGAGCATCCACCAAAGCACACACACGAATAGCAGGGAGAAATCGCAGCAGCACGTACAGGAATCGCAAGGTGGGAAAGGTGATGCTGGGCAGCACTTGGTCTCCGTCAAGCTTGTTGGATGCGAGATCCCTGTTGATCCATGCCCACCCGACCACACATGTGCAACAAGCATGCACACACACACGCACGCACGCACATGCGCGCACAAGTGCACGCGCGCACACACACCCACAGAAGAAACGGGCATGGTGATGCAGGCACAAGAGGCAGCACATGGCGGAGGCTGGTGAATAAAACCTGACTGGCAGACAAGTGAGTGAGCATGATGATGGGGAGAGACCTTCAGCGAGGCATGGCAAGGGGGAGGTGAATGAATTGGGATGCCTAGACTGGTGGACTGTTGGAAACATGGCAAGTTGCACATCTGATTCGAATTGAATAGAACGCATGCCCGTGTGCGTCGGCAAAGGAAACAGGTCCGTGCAAGCATGATGGGTGCGCCTCGGGGAAAGGACGATGCAGCGGAGTGGGACTGGACTGACAGAGATGTGAGGCCGGTGAGAGTCTTCAGGTAGATCATGTTGTAGGCTTCTATCTGGTTGGAGGTCAGATCCCTGCCATGCCATGTGGTGCAGCAAGCAGGCGTGTGTGGGGTTTCTTTCTTCTGTGCTCTCTATGGCACCACAGGCGAAGGATGGCAGTGATTGCTGCTGATTGGGGATGCACCTTGTCAACGTGGACAATGGAATGCTGTGGACTGACATGACATGGCGACGATAATGATGATAATGATGGTGATTATCGCAGCAGCAGAAAGGCGCTTCACGTCACGAGTGATGAATATACTGATCATACTTGTGTGTTGCACACATTTGGGAGCTGTCTGTCAGTAGGACGCAGCACCACTGGGAATGAATGAATGATTGAGAGCATGCTTAAAGAGGTTCCATGAAGCTCGAACGCATGCCGCTCCCTCATTCCATTTATGCGATGCATAAGGTTGGCCGATGGTGTGGTGTGGTGCAGGGAAAAGCACACGATGATACACCAAACAACGCGCACACACAGAGTTGAAAGAAAGTCGTACAGTTTCACGAGCCTGGGGAAATTGCTGCTGGTGATGTTTCCCGTGTACCATATGTTGGTTGATGGCAACTCTCTGCACAGGCGGCGTGTGCCGGATTAGTCAGGGATGAGTGGTGATGAGTGGTGATGAGTAGTACTCAAGTGCAAGCAGGCAGTGAGTGGCGCTGGAGTGCAAACAACCACACCACTGACGGGAAGCCGCCAAGGGGAGGAGTGACGAGGAGCAGCGAAAGGGAGACGAGAAGGAGAGCATGCAGACCAATACAGGAGCATGCATGGGGTTACGGGGACTAATGCCGGAAGGATCTAGGGCTCAGAATTAAGGCTTATGGGTAATGGGTTTGGGTGGGGAATGGGTGTGAGGAACGGGTATGGAGCTTACAATTCCGAAAGGTTTGTCAACTTAGTAACCCTGTCAAGCTGATAATCTCCAAATCCGCAGTTGCCAAGCCTCCTGTGGTTCATGCCTAAGTTG